TACTCATTTTCCCTCCATCTTCCATGTTCTATTGGATCTTCGATTTCTTATGCTTCATAGATATAAGAGAGAAAACTTTGGTCTGAAGGATTCTTGTCTTTCAGGTCAACAGCATGCTTCACCTTGATGGTGTAGAAAAAAATTTGCAGAACGATGTAAAGGAAAGGAAAGATTACCTTCATAAGGTCTGACTCAGACTCATATTTATATAGACTTTCTATGCTGTTGACATATAAAAAATATCCAATGAGCCAAATGATTAACCAGCTTATCGGAATGTTATATTATATTCTCTTGTTCTTTTGCAAATATTTTTAAAGGCAGAGAAAGAATTGTGGAATTACATGTACACCTGAATAGTATGTAGTCTGAGTTTAAGTTAAGTTAGTTGGTTGATTTCAAGTAAAGTCGGCTTATTTCATTTGGCTGATATTGAGTCATCTAAAGCACTTTAATCGAGCTTACTTATCCCAAAGTCTAAGCAAAATCATGCAAGCCGTTATTGACTAGGCCAAAACTGCTACTCGCTCGAACTTTGCAAGCTCAAGTGAAGCTGACAACTGACTTCACATCAATTCATTCTTTACAAGTCAACACTTGTACTTTATGTAAGCACATAATTACTGGCTGGTTAAGTGCTGTGTACGATAAGCACTTATTAAGCATTGCTATATAATTTTTTACTTGTATCGCCTAAATGTGGCCTTTTTTTTGTAACATTGTCTCTACCTAAACCTATAAATTCGGGGCCAAAGGGTGAGCATATCACATTAAATCATTAGCACACTTTTGGCAATCTTGTAAAATCCCAAGTCTTTCATTATAGATATATTTTTTTTCCTCCTCTTATTTCTTGGCCATTCTTTTTAGTAAAATATTTATGTTGATCATAGATAAATTTTGGTGGTGGAATAAAGTAACAAACACTATTAAACAAGTAGCAAAAGATGTATTTGGAGAATCAAAAGAAAAAAAATTAATAAATAAAAATAGTTGGTGGTGGAATAATAATGTGCAAGAAAAGATAAAATATAAGAAATTATGTTATAAAAATTGGTTTAAATGTAAAAGCTTAGAGAACTGAGAAAAATATCAAACGGCCCGCAGGGAGTTTAAAAGAACAAACTGTGATGCTAAAAATTCTGCTTTTAATAATATTTATAATAGATTAGATACTATGGAGGGTGAAAAATATATGTATAAACTAGCCAAACAAAGATAAAAGAAAAGTAAAGATTTAACTCAAGTAAAGTGTATTAAAGATGAAAATCAAGAAGTATTTTTCTTAGAAAAAAGATATTCAACATAGGTGGGTGAGTTACTTTGATAAATTTTTTAATGAAGTTTCTGAAAATATGATCGGCCTTAGTGATCTTAATATCTTGAATAATAATAAAAAGTTTTATTTTTACCGTCACATTCGTAAAAAAGAAGTTGATGAGACTTTAAAGAAAACCAAGGGTGGAAAGTCTGTAGGAACTGATGATATCCTAATTGAAGTGTGGAAATATTTGGGAGATTTGGGAGTTTCTTGGCTTACTAAACTCTTTAATATTATTTGAAAAACTAAAAAGATGCCTGACGAGTGGAGGAAGAGTATTTTGGTCCCCATTTTTAAGAATAAAGGGGATGCACAAAAGTGTGCAAATTATAGAGGAATTAAGTTGATGTGTCGTACTTTAAAGTTATGAGAGAGGGTAATTGAACATAGGTTAAGACGCATCACAAAGATTTCTCATAATCAATTTGGATTTATGTCGGGCAGGTTTACTATGAAAGCTATACATTTATTGAGAGGTTTGATGGAGAAGTTCAGAGATAATAAGGAGAATCTACATTTGATTTTTATTGATTTAGAAAAAGCTTACGATAAGGTTCCAAGAGATATCCTTTGGAGAGTTCTTGAGAAGAAAGGTGTTGATATGACTTATATTCAAGTCATTAAAGATATGTATACTAGAGCTGCTACTTGTGTTCAAACTGAAGGAGGATTGACCAAATATTTTCCTAATTTTGTTGGATCACATAAGGGATCGGCTTTAAGCCCATACCCTTTTGCTTTAGTTATGGATGGGCTTTTTTGACAGTTACAAG